TCCTTGTACCGTATCTCAATCTTCCTTGTACTGATGTGCCTCACAACTTTGTGTCAGCAGCAGAAAGCTCCCTCCTTGAACTCTCTCCAGTTTCTGAGCCAAAGTCACTAATAAAAATATTAGAGTGTGATTGGTTCCAGGACAGATCACTGATAAAGATTTTATTAAAGTCTCCTCCAACCTTTCTTCCTGTTCCAGTATTACTTGTGCCATCTCCGTGTTACACAGCTGCTCGCACCACTTTCTAATTCTATTTCTGCTCTTTGAAATAGATTTTTTTAATGTCGAAAGTGGGAATCACCGTATGGAATAAGAGGAACCCTAAGGCTGAGATTCTCCATTTGTCACGTTCGCCACAGTTCAATCATCTGGTGTGGACAGGACTCCTCCAGTGTAATTGCCCAAAACACTGAGGAGAGGAGACAGTGAGCAGTAAACCCCCCAGCACAAAACCCACTCAGGTGGCTTCACTTCTCATTCAGCACTGCAATCTGATGTTGTTTAGGTTTCAGAAGTCAGCCGGCTGCTTGCCTCCATAACCAACCCTTCCACGTCTCCCCGTGGCCAGGCGTGAGCTCCGTGTTTATCTGCTATGCAGGCAGCACCGTGGCTCACAGCAAAGACAGAAACGCCTCCCTGGGGTCCCATCAATTCATAGGAGATTATTCTGCAACAGCAAACATCTCTTTTGACAACTCACACCATACAGCAAGTGGGGCAGAAAAACTGAAGGAGGGATGCAGGACTTTTTTCACCAGTAAGTATCCAAGAGATGTGGTTAAGGAAATGAGGAAAGTGGCAAGGGGGTAGCACGTAGAGATAAATGCAGGATGTAGATTTCCCTCTTTCAGATGCCCTCAGGAGAGTCAGGGAAAGTGTGCCACGGAGACATCTGGAGGGATTTCAGGACCTGAGTGCTTCCCATCTGGGACCATAAATAAAAAAGCAGCCTGCAAGAATTTTCCATTTCTAGACCAGACAACAAAATTACCTCCCTACAGCCATTAGGTATCAGAATGGAAACAAGGAAGCTGACTAAAATAGCCAACTGTTCATGTCTTCATTTTTAATAATTATTGATCAAAACTGAACTGCGTTTATGCACGACAGTAGCTGGGGGAAAACTGCTAGCGCTTGCCTGCACATCAGCCAAGAACCACAACAGACTGCAACAATTACGGATGGCAAACCCTGCCTGAAGTACTGACACGCGTGCAGGCACCGAGCTGAGATGCAACGAGCTAGCCCAGGCCTGATCCTGCTGCCTGTGTGTCCAGCAGAGTCCTCAGCCCAGGTGCTCTGGGGGCTGGCCGGGTGCAGTGCTGCTTCCAGGAACCAGCGATGCTGCTCAGAAGACACATGTGCTCAGATGTAGCTGGAAAAAGCAGCTGACAGTGAAACGCAGCCTGACCGATTTCTCAGCTGGCTGCTCTGGCAAGAGACTTCTGTTACACTGGCCAAATCCTCGTGTTTTTCAGAAACCAAACCAAAGCAAACCAAAGCTCCTGCTGAAGTAAGCGGATTCCTGCTAACCAAGGCCTTCCAGGCAGCAGCTACTCTCCCCTTAGATCTCCGGTCCGTTTCTGGAAGCACTTCTACAAATAATACTAATGAAACAGAGTGGAGCTGACAGCCACGGGTGCCCTTTTCTGTATCCCAAAGGCACGAAGACGCAGGAGCACACCTTCGGTGAGTCACCAGGCCAGCTAGGGCGAAGGTTTTGGGCAAAAGAAAGCCAGAGGGAAATGCAGCTGGCAAATGGAAAGGATTCTCTGCTATGCCAATGAGAGACGCTGCCTTATGGTTTTTACACAGTGAGGACTACACATACCTGCAAAATATACCCTTCTTTAAACAGGGAGAGTCACTTAGAACTTATTTAGAAAAATGCCTCCCCAGGAAGCATAATAAGTATTTTGGGATAATGCCATCTTCCCCGTTCGTTTCCCATCCCTGGCAGGACCCGCAGCTCATGGTTCCCGTAGCCCACTGCCCCGGTGGGACCGTCAACCAAAGCAGCCCCATCCCCAGCAGCGAAACAGCAACTCCCCGGGCCTCTTGCAGCGTGGTTTCCTGAAGCTAGCTTGGCTCATCTGAGCAAAGCCAGAGTGGGAATTAAAAGAAAACAAACAAAAAAGCATGCAACAAAAGGAGTCAACACCGTGGGATTTCTGTTCTGATTTTCACCCCCTACCCGACCCACCTGTGAGCGTGGCTGGACGAACACCACGCTGCTCTTTGCCCCCCTCAGTGCCCGGGGACATGTGGGATGAATTAGGGTACACGTTTTTCTCAGCAGGCTTCGCAGTCCGGTGCTACCAGGTCACCCAGGTATTTTGCAGAAGCTGATTGCTGTTAACAGTTCTGACCTCAAGGCAAACACAGATCCTGCCGGAATTAGCACCAACGCTTACGCTGCTGTCACCACAGCACTGGTATTTTCCTTCCCCTGCACATCACTGGCCTCACCTTCACCTCTCACCAGTAATCTCCAGCAGCTTCCAAGCAGTGCTCGGATCCCGTGTCTGTAAGGGCTGACACCAAAGGACTTGCTGAACTAGAAGACGTGGGCTGCAAACTGGCCCCCTGGCTGAGCTCCTCTGTCCCTTGCAGGACCATAAAAACAGATCATAAAAAGCATTCATGAAAACAAACCACCATATACAGGCATATACAATCTCCACCTGAAGATGCGATTTGCCTGAAACTCATCGGAGGTAATTAGTGAAGCTCCCCAGCCTCTGCCAGAATAGCAGACTATCAGCCATTATACATTTCCACCCGAAAAGCAATGAAGGACAGTGCCTCTAAGAGCCTGGCCACGAGGAAATATTCCCAAGCCCTTTCAGAATAACTAAGAGTCTATATTGGAGGCGCAGCAGCTGTTTTGCTTTCACCCCCATCCGCATGCTCCCCGTGCACATTAAGGACTCCTCTTTGCAGTTTATCTTCTGAAGCGATTGTGCCCAAACCACACCACAGTGTCTGTGGTGTGGAAAAAGCACCTAACACGGAGGGGGCAGAGGAGTCATTTCAAGACCGTGACTCCCAGCTAGCTGCCTGAGCCAATAAACCTTAGGAGGAGCCTTTCTCCTGCATCAAAAAAAAAAAAAAAGCAGCAACAGAGCTGCCAGCTGCCCCCCAGAAATTGCTCTCGTGTACGTGCATATAAACACCGGGGTCAAATTATCTTTTTCAAGGTGATGCGGAGATTTCATTACTTCAAAAATGATGGAACCCAGTGGAGGCGAGTCCTTATTAGATGAATTGGTCAGGTGAAACGCATTGTTTTATTCATGATGAGATCGTGACTGCGTTATCAAAAGAGCCTACAGGTCTCAGCTCAGCGTTCCCTAATTTTGCTGCCTTGGTACAAACCAGGTCTCTTGTTGGCTTTTCAGCTTTTCCCTCTTCCAACCTGAAATCAAAGCCCGCTCCGTGTGGTGGCTCAGCGCCCAGGACACCCCCAGCACCACCTGGTTGAGGTGTGAAGGCACGGATAGCTTGGTTCTGAGATGGTCAAGTGGCACCAAGGCCTCCTGCTTTCAGATCCACCTACTGAGATGTGGGGAAAGAACAGAGGATCCTGAAAAGGGCTAAGAAACAGGGAACAGGGCCTTCCACATTCCCACCCTTCCTGCAGCTAACCCCATCTACGTCTGCAGACACATTTAAAAGCCTCCCTTTGGCACTTGGCTCTGTACTTGGGTCTGCAGGAGCGCTCCGGTCCCCCCGCACCTCTTCCCTTCTGTTCCCTCCCCACTCTCTCCGACTCACAGCAGCGTTTGGATGTTCGGTGATGCCTCAGCTCCAAGCATCTGCCACCAAATTATTTCTCTCTCCCGGCTCATCGAGCAGAGATTCTGCATCAGCGAGCTGCGGGGCTCAGCCAGCGACAAGAGGCTTATCGCCGCGCCGCCAGCCCGCTGATGCGAGGGGAAGCACCCAGAGCAGGCTGCAGAAAAGGAAGGGGACGGTTCCTCTGATGAATTAGGAGCTCCTTCTCCTCCCCCGGCTCGCAGAAACTCAAAGCAGGTATCAGACACAGTAAGCAGCCCGTTAAATTGAGCCAGCCGCTACAGGAGAGCGGAACGCCCACGGCACCAACCCAGCCGTGCCCCTGGTGTATGCACACGGTGAGTGAGGCCCGAGCTGTCACGGGGAGCAGTCAATCAGTCCTGGAGGGCCGGGGGCTGATCTCCAGCCAGGAGAAGCCTCCCAGCTACATGGGGGATTGTGCAAGCCCCAAGCTCCTCGCATGCTTCCCCCTTGCTCCCTTGGCGAGGCGATGTGCTTACGGATAATGCTTTTAATGCCCATTTACTGATGTGAATTACAAAAAAAAACAACAATCCCAAGTGCTGATGACACAGACGCGAGCACAAAATGAATTCATTATGATTGGTGCTATTACAATGAATCGCAAATGCGTTCCTAATGGCAGGACATTTAAAAAGCAATGTGCTGCTGGATCCCTCGGCTCCAAAAGCAGTAACAAGGCGATGGGTGCACCACGGGAACTGAAGAGAAACTCACGTGCTGGCAGGCTGCTGCCAGAGGCTCCAAGAGGAACACAAGCATGTGTGGTTTGTAGCCCCTCAGCTGTGCAATTCCAGTTGCTCTGCACGGCCACGGAGCTCTCTCCACCTCTGAACCCGAGCCGGGTACGTCTCGTAGAGCACTTCCAGAGCACAAGCGTTCCCCGTAGGGTGCTTGGTACGGCCTTGTCCGATCTCGTTTTCGGGCATCTGAAGAGAGATGCTTTCTCACAACCCCCGGGGAAATTTTACACAGTCTCTGAGAAGTTACGGGTAGGGATGAGGGCCTGTGATTCAACCCAAATCTCTTCTCTTCGTTTGTTCATCTACAGACGGGATTAGGTCTGGAGGACGTCCGAGGCACGCAAGCTTCATTCCCTCTGCTACAACAAATCCGCCAGCAAAGGGCACAGGCATCTTCCCCAAGGCAAAGCCCTGGCTGCTAACAAGCTCACCTAAGTGCAAAAAAATGCGAGGGAAGTTTATGAGCCTACAAGCACAGACTCGCTAGCCAGAAACACTCCCTGCGACAGGCATCCAAAGCCTCCCCTGGAAATGCCGAATGTGGGGCAATCCCAGCTTTGCACCCTGCAACCCTTCAGGCAGGGGTTTGGGATGAGTTCAAAGGGCATCTCTTCAGGAAGAGCACATCAGCAGGGCACGGGGCATAGGAAACTCACAGCACAAACTGCCCTCAAAAGAGAAGGCGGGGAAGAGGAACCACTGCCGTGGCTTTCTGCTCCTCCTCCTCCCTCCTTCAGGGTGCGCAGCTCCTGTGGGCACCCAGGCTCACCCTCCGGGGCTTCTCACCCCAAAAGAGCCAGAGGCAGGCAGGGAAGAGCTGCCCCGTGCCCGTGCTGCTTCCCTGCTGCTACGAGCTGGGTGGCTGCACTGCTCGGTACTGCCGGTGTTGATTTTGGCTCAGTGCCCCAGCATTTTATGGACGTTGCAAACCCCGCGGCCCTCACCACGGAGAGCAAGGAGTCAGAGCTCCCGTGAGCCTCCCCAGGCTTGCAGGAAACACAGGGGCCACCATAAATGTCTTTTCCTACTGTTCTGATGATGAAAAGCTTCATTTTTATCACTGACAGGCCAGAACAGGGTGATGGAGCTACATTTTAAGCTTTCTCTATAAATTGAAAAAGAGCTCGAAACCCTTTACTTTTTTGTCCTTGAAAAGGGAACAACCATTTGCTGGTGCTGTCTTAAGTTGATGTTCCTGAGAGCGCTTTGACAGCAACAGCATTTACGACCTTGGCAATTTTATTTAAAAAAATTAAAAGCTCAGATGCCGGGAACACGTAGGCTCAAGCTCTCATACACAGCAGCAATCTCTGCGTGCAAGTGCCTTGAAATTTCTGGAGAAGTTAGTGGGCTTCCTGCTGAAAGCTGCTTTGGGAAATGGGTGATTCAGGTGTTCCTGTGTGCTTATAAAATGTGACTCCATCCACAAGTAATTTCACAGGAGCTCGGTAAACTGACTTGAAAACATCTCCCTCTCGTATTTGCTACAGGGTGCTAACACACCAGAGACTTCCATTCAGCAGCTCTGCTTTCATGCTTGTAAACTCACTTTGCTTCAACAGCAATGTTTTTGTAGAAAAAATGCACGCGGCACTCAAGCCCAAAGAGGTGCTCTCGTGGATTTCTGAAAAGGCAGACAGAAAGCAGCCCGTAATAGAAACTCACTCCCAAGCTGTGCCACGGCTGCTATTGCTCGATAATACCCAAAATTACTGCTGCAGAGGGTTCAGCAGCAGCAGGGCACCCTCCTTCATGATTTTTTTGCTGGCTTCCAAACCCAGCATGAAAGAAAACAAGGCATCACCACGCAGGTCTCCACCGTGTTTCCAAACGCAACCACGAAGCCATCCTGCTCCGTCCTGGGGTTTATTTCCCCTCTTGTTTGTGCCCGGTTTTTGATGCAGAGGGAGAATCTGACGGTTCTGGTTTGGCACTGGCAGGACACAGCTCTCCCTGCCAGAGGACGGCTCCACGACCCTGGCACACAAAGAGCAGCCAGGAGATGCCAGCAGAGATGGCCAGGCATTCCCTTCTAACCTTAGTGCGCGACAGCTCACCGAAATCATGCCTCTCCCCTTCTCACTCCTTCCTGCGGCTGTCCAGCGGAGCACTGACACGCGCTTTTACTCCAGGCAAGCACTGCCCAACAAAAAGCAGCAGAGTTAATTGGCCTGAACAGCGAAATCCTAGGTTAAACCACAGACACTCCAGTTTTTTAGCAGGCGATGAAGCAATATTTACAGCTTTCAAACTGAAGAAACACGATCGGTGGTTTTGTTTACCCACTGAAGTGGAGTAAACTCACTGCTATCTCTGCTGACACAGATTCTGGCCTGGTTTATCCACACAGAAAATGCAATTGCATTACTTACTGTTTGGCACGAGTCTTTGCTTTTTTTTTATTTTTCAATTAGACCTAAGTATGATACATTAGGAGGAAGAAACCAAGAGCCTCTGAAATCTGGAATTGAGATTTCTGAGTGGTGAAAAGCTACGCTGGCTATGAATTCCTTATAGGTTCACCAAGGAATCCCTGATCATCAGTCTTCAGTCCTCAGTGCTGATAGCACAGGCAGGATGAGCAGACACGACAGCATACCTGGAATTCCAGTGTGCCTGCAACCGGCTAAAATAAAGCAATAAAATACTGTGAGGCCACAAGACCTCTTTCCATGATTTCCCTTCCCAGAAGTATGAAAATCCTATTTGCCACTCAACGGAGACACACAAATATATTGAAAATCTCCAAAATGAATAAGCAGCCGTTCCACTCTGAGCTGATAACTCATCATGGCCTTTGAGAAAGGTATTTGGGGAATAAGAGAAAAACTATTCTCTCCTGCCCAGGAAATATAACTGTGGCACTAAAAAGATGACTGCAAGCCCTCCTCTGCTCACTTCAGGGCTCTTTCACCCTGCTGTTAACTTAACCATCTTACCATCTAAACAGATAAGCAAGATATTAGTATTTTAGGCATTAAAACACCCTTCAGGAACAATTTCTTGGGCACACAGACAATCTTGTGCTCTAAGCTCATGAAGTCAACCAAAATGATGTTCTCAGGCATTCCACCCTTTCCCTGGCTCAAACCATACAGCAATAACATTTAACTCACAATACCTTGCCCAAATCCAAAGTACTTTACACAGCAGCAGCGGCACAACTCTGCAGTTTGTTGCACCCATCCTATCCATGGATGCACGTGAATAAAAACATGACAACTTGGTGCTATGTGGCTCAGAAGTACATGGCATCAAAATATACTTAATCGCAGCTCATTACTGCTGCGCCGAAGGAGTTACAACCTACATAAATCTGAAGTACTGTTTCCTTACTTCTTTTGCTGCATATTATCTGAAAGGTAAACGAGATATCATGAAACCGAGAGGGTAAGCAAAGTTTTATTTATTTATTTTTGTTCTAAAGCAGTTAAACACACAACTTGTATGCGAGAGAGGTTCTGAATCCCCTTGGCAAACTCTCCAGGGGCTTTACGCCCCTGCACTCCACTACAATAAACCAGAACCTTTCAACTAAAACCAACAGTGACATTCAAGATTCCCCCAGCTGGCACCTCTCCCTTTTTGGGGCAGGGCTGGCTTGGATCAGGGTTATCATAGGACACTGGTGGGATGGGACTCTCATCTGCACCGTTAGCAAAATGAGAAGGATTCCTGACCCATAGCTGAGATGCCTCTGCAGGCCAGCAGTGCCAGTAATAAATACCAGCTGGTTTTCCTGCTCAGCGCTGGTCAGCATTGCTCCCAGGCTGCAAGGGGGAAGCTCCCAAGCTGTCAGTGCCCCGGACGTTGCAAGAGGATGTTTACAAGCAGCACAGCAGAGATGAAATGAAAACAGATGGCAGACAGATGTGAGCGGAGTCAGGAAGGGGAAAGCTGCCTGGCAATGTTTTTAGCAGTGTCACTCTCTGGCTCACCCAAAACCACCCCAGAAGCATCAGCAGAGCTAGGAGGAAGGCTTACGCTCCCAGAGGAAGCATCTGCAGTGCTTACAGGGTGTCCCGGAGAGGCCTGAATTTTCACACGTTGACCAAACTAAAACCAAGCACCTTTTCCCATTACATTTTTGAGCACAACAAGTCACAGGCGACAGCAGCACCCGTGCTGCCCGATGAGGGGAGCAGTAATCTCACTGGGGGAGCTGGAGAGCTGTTCAAACACCAATTCATCTTTGACCAGCTCCGGACAGCTATTGTCCACGTTACAGACAGACAGAGAGGGGCAGGCATTGAGGGCTACGCCTTCAGGGGAAAAGCTGCTGATGTGAGGGCTCCCAGGGGAGCCCCCTGTCCTCCGACCGCTGCCCCGGGCTCCCTCAGTCCCCAGTACTCACTGCTGATGCACGGCATCTGGGCAAAGGGAGTGGGCACAGGTTCATCAGCTTGCTGTCATGGAACGAGTAAATGTCACGTCTCCGTCTTTTTAAATGAAATCTACTCCTCGCATGCCCTTAGCAGACAGCAGAAGGTAATTTATTTCTTTAGAACAAAAGCTTGAATATATCGCCCTAGCAGCCTGCTGCATTATGACCCCCACGCTAATCTTATTAAGAGAGAGGTTACCGGGCTCTTTGTTGGTGAACAGCACATTAATGAGATCTCCTTGAAATAATCCCATCTCTAATATGCAGGGAAAATTACATTTTCCAGCATAATTACTATGTCAGTCAAAAACCCCAACTCCATCATTAATTGCTTTTCTCCAGATTCCAACAGCTTCTTGTCAAGCGGCACAACTCCGGGAGGAGGAGGAGGGGGGAAGGAAAGACGGGAAGTTTATCTCATGAAATCAAACCCACAGCACATGGGGGAGGCTGTGCCTGGATGGAGCCTGTTGTGTTAGAAGCAGGAGCTGCTGGCATCCCCAGGGCACTGCAGCGGAGCTGGTGCCTGGGCACAGCCTGGCAGGAGGGGATGCTGCTGGGCAGAGGCAGGAGGAGAGCGGTGCCTGCGCTCCCCAGTCAGATGGAGCAGGCTGCAGAGGACAGAGGGCTCGTGGCTGAAGGATGGCAGGGTGATCCTGCACCTACAGCACTGTCACTGACTCACCTGTGCTCAGTAAGGGTGCTCAGCTCCCTCCTTAAACTTCGGGTGTTGCACATTTGTCTTCAAATAAAAAAAAAAATCCATGGTGGTTGGCTCCCACCTGTCTGTCTGAAGATCTCTTTGAGGAAATCAACACGGTGATGTGAAATGGGAAGCAAAAACTGACACCGTGTGTGTGCAAAATATGGCCATTTCTCTGTGCTTCAATCTGCAATAAATGCATAATGCTTTGATAACAAAAGCATGCCATGACCGGAGACCCCAGTTCAGCAAATATAAAACCTGGGGCAGGACATGAGAACAAAAACAAAGGATGTAGGCCAGTGTTTTGGGTTTTTGGCAGCATTTGAATTAGACAGGAGAAATGGCAGCCTTCCTCTAAGAGTCCTGCAGGTCTCTGTACCCCCTGCATAGAGACCCTTTGTTTGGGGAAATCAAATCAATACAGGAGGGATCCTTGGGGGGGGCTCGCAGGAGCTTTGAATCACCCCAGCCGTATAAAGGTATTTGAGCAGAGCTTCTTCTCCGTATCTGACTCATTAACTTGTTACTGAAAGATAAATTTTATTATTTTTTTTAATCCCATTTCCCCAGCTTTTAATACCGAACTACATCAGAGGGAAAAACACAGAATAATGCAGACTACTTTGTCTTACTGAGGAAAAATGCATGCTTTTAAGACCTCACTTAGGCCTTCACCCCATACAGCACAGAACAACAGTGTTTTGAATAAGATGCCACAGTGTAAGCTCCCAGATAAACTTAAGTGATTTTATCTGGTTTTTCATTTTTTTTGGTCAGCACAAAGTCTGCCATCTGGGCTCCGTCATAAAACGAATATGAAATTTTATTGCAAACCATATGATACCAGCAGGAGTAGAGAAAGTTGAAAACAGCATGAATGTTTAATATTGGGCACTAAAGTAAAACACTCTCCCCTTCTCTATTATTTATTTTCTTGTGCTTTTGTAAAACCCAGACCTCCCTCAGCCTGCCTATCCCAACAATTGCTTCAGTGATGCCTATTAACAGGAACAGCCTCACAACCAAACCCATGCAAATAGAAGAGTCCACTGATAATTAAAATGGGTCAGATCCTCATTAGAGACGTTTGTCCCATCCTTACTGACAGGTCATCAAGTGGAAGAGCCCTTGCAAGATCGCGTTTGTTAATTATGTGCAAAGTGGATTGAACAACATTCGAAGACTGGAAATGATGTGGTCGTAAAAAATTGCCTGGGCATTTGAAGAGTCAATCACATCCATGGCAAAAATAAAATTAACAACAAAAACATGACGCTCTGCAAGGATTTTCATTTCGCCCGCACGAACTTGTGGGCTTTAATTTCCCAGGTGATGTATTGACTATTTTTGGATGAAATGCCGGATCATTTATAGCTTAAACTCTGCTCGACTATTAAAATGAAAATATATTAAACAGAAAGCTAGGTCAGAGCAAAGCGCTTCAGTCAGCTAACCGGCTGCTTGGTGGGAAAGGAGCATCATATCCTGACTCCCCAGTCAAATCCTACCTTTAAATCAGGCTGAGAAAGTAGCTCACTGATTCCTGCTGCTTGCCTATCACGAGCCAACAGATGCTAATGCCAGCAGCACCACAAGGCACTCACCGCAGCTCTTAAAGGGATTGCAGGGCGGTCAGTTCTCGTACTGAGTTCAGCAGCTCTAGAGGGATATTGTTTCAGGGCACAGAGCCGTTCTTACTAACAAGGATTTCATAAACAATTATCAGATGCTCTCTGACATAAGCCAAGCTCCTCGAAAAAAACACCACAAGTACCCAGAGACAGAGGTTTACCGTGTAGTTTTAATTGCTGCCCCCAACCTCTTCCCTACCCAGCCACTGTGGGATCACCACCAACAGACACATCCACAAGGCGCGTCTGAAAGCTCCCACGAGAGACGCAAGCTGCAGTAGCCCCTCCATTTCCACACAGCATGGCCTTCAAAACTAGCCAGCTTCAGCTCCAGAGCAGCACTCAGGCACCCCAAAAACCATTCACAAACCTGGTTCTCTCTCAAGCAGACAAGATTTGTCTTTTGGGAAGTGACTTC